AAATTCTTTTCAGGATCTAGCCCTTGATTCTCAGATTACTCAGTTTCTCTTACAAATGGAGAAACTGGGAATCTAGAAACGGTTTTCTCATGTATTCAAGGGGCATAAAGGAAGATGGCTGGAGACAGTTACTAGTTGCAGATGATGTGCCATCCAGAAGGAAAAAGAGAGAGGGAAGATCACCACATGTATTTAACTTGTTTGGGATTTTGTATGTGTTTTAGGAACCTTGTCTTTGAAGAAAATAACCTAAAGGACTGATGACTTTTTGGAAAAGATTGTACTGGATGCCAGCCCTATTAAAGCCAAAGGACCCTTGTCCTTAAAGGAGGTCTCCTTCCACTCCCAAATAGACTGCCTATTGGTGTTTGCGAGTGAGAGCTCTATACCTAGCCCCTTGCTTTCCCATGTATGGACACACCATTGTTGTTCAAAGGCTTTTTATCACAATTCCCTGTAATGAAAGCATAAGACACCCTCACCTGAAATAATAGTACCCAAAAGGGTAACCATATATGAAGCTTTAAAAAAAAAAAAAAAAAAAACCTTCCTGTCATTTTAATTTGTAATGTATTACTCATCTCACACTCCTCTTCTGGCTCTGTGGGCATTTAAAAATTGCAGTTGTGTCAAGTGAATTTTCAGTTGCTAAACCCATCAAGTTAGTTTTCCAATACAGGGTTTTGACTCCAGATGTAACACAGCAGTAGCATTTAACAACTAAGTTTACCCTGTAACAATAAATAGTAACTGTTTAAGCTTTAACCTGACTCCTTCAGTTGCTGTAACAGAACCAAGCACAATTTAAAAGAACTTCAGCCGGTCATAAGGGACTCACTGCCCTGACCGTCGGCTGACATCATCTCACACTCCTCTTCTGGCTCTGTGGGCATTTAAAAATTGCAGTTGTGTCAAGTGAATTTTCAGTTGCTAAACCCATCAAGTTAGTTTTCCAATACAGGGTTTTGACTCCAGAAAACTAATCTATCACAAATAGGCAGTATTCAGGAGTCCTATTGTATTTATATTTAATAATGACAAGTTTTAAAAGTAATTTCAAAATCACTTTGGCTTCTTTCTATGATAAAACTAGATAAAATATTGTTACTGTTTTTAATGACAAAATACTCTTTTTTTCTTATAAAGAAATATTGGTCATTTGAGGAGATGTAGGAACATTAGATTAATATGCTTTCATAAAACTTGCTGCCTCTTATCAGTTTACTATTGACTAAAATATCACAAATCGGCCTAGCTATTGCTATTTTAATTTATAAGAAACCCAGTTTCTAATTATATCAGTTTTTAAGACACGTTCATCAAGCTCTCTAACCTTTACATCAGAATGTGTTTTATTAATCAGTCTATAACATGCCCTTTTGTTATAGTCAACTCAACCCAACTACTAAAAGATTCAATTTTCCTTTATTTTTGCCTTGGTTTTTAATCAGTTTGATAGACATGGGAGAAGATTCAATTTCCAGAAGTCTCTTCTCTTGAGATTTGATATTTATATGTGATATCTTCACAATGTTGGGCCACGTTAAGTCTTCAGATATATACCTGCACCTCCTTTTGATTTCATGGGAGACTTGTGGATATGTATTTGAGGACAAAAATTGTCTTTGATGCTTAAACTTTTTCAGACTGAATTGTCATTTCAGATGGTGACTGTTCTGAGGCAAG